CTATCACCAACATTTACAGTAAGTGGCTGTAAGCATTCTGGGTTGAACCTAATTTGGCGTTATGAAAGGTAATTTAATTGTGAGATCTAAAACAAAGTAGCTGGAAAAGTCATAGGATGAAAAACAAAAAGACAAAAAACAAAAAACTAAGTTCTTTGCTTTTATAGCCTTCCAGAACCAGAAGGGGAATGAATGTATGCAAACATTTGAGAAATTATGATAAAGAGTTTAAGGAGAATTTTCCATTGGGAAAAAAAGAGCATGTTGTAAAAGTTTGCATTTAATTAGGAGAACATGTTCTAAAAATATATAGACCTAGACCTATAGAGAGGTTTCCAGGTATTAAGAATGTAGGATACACAGGTCCTCTTTTTGATGAATTACTCAAAGTAAGGAGAATATTTGAAGATACCAAATTAGTAGGGCAATATAATTGGGGTAAAATTTTACAGTCTTTTAAAATGGTCATTTAAAAAATATCCCAGAGTACAGAGAGGGTTACTGCGTACATTTTGGGATCAAGCTATCCCATAGGGCAGTCAACAATTTTCTTATGATAGCATGTGTAATCTGCATTTGAGTCATCATTCTTGTGAACCCCAAACCCTTTAGAATTCTAATCATGCCATGGCATACTAACAGTCAGAGTTAAATCACATCTGCAAAGCAGACTGCAAAGCATAGCACTCAGACTGTCTCCTCAGCAGCGTCTTTTCTTAGGCGGCATTGGCGGCGACAGCAGCAGCAGCAGCAAGAAGAGAAGCAGCTCCAGCTATGACTGCCGCATGTTAATAGCTACCGCTTGGGTTCCTGGGCTTCCGCTGGAGACTGAGCCTGACTCCGAAGTTGTGTAACTGTGAACTGGGAGAGACATTTGAACCCTCCTTTCTCTTTGCTCCGCTTTGGCCCCTTTGAGGTGTGTGAAGAGAGGAAACTTAAAGGAAGACAGGCATTTGGCTTTCCCTCTTTCTCTTTCTCCACGGTTGTGTTGCAGAAGAAAGGGAAGAGAGACTTTTGTTGTTGTTTTCTTGACTGGGGTCTCCACCCCCCTGCTGCCTTCTCTGTGCTTTATCTTTTTTTTTTTTTTTTTTGGCCGCGGGTGGTGAGGGTGTCTTTGCTGGGGCCAGTCCATCTTTTGCCCCGGGCTCTATGGCTGGATTGTGGAAACTGCACCCCGCTGCAGGTTGTTGAGCGACTGATGGGACGATCTCAGGGACCCGCGGTTGCAGAAGGTAATTTATTCTTCTCACTCTTCATCATAGTGGTCGTCCTGGTCTGGCCCAGGCGGCGGCATCTGCCGGGCGGGCAACTGAGGGGGTGCGGGGTTCACGCACACTCACCCTTCCACTCACACACTCGCCTTCACACACTCGCCCTCTCACACACTCATCCGATGGTGATGCGGGGCGGGAAGGGAGCCTCCTGGCTGGTGGGCGCTCAGGTCTGGCACGGGTTCGAGGTTTTATCAGCCATTGGGTGGTTTGGCGGTTGAGCAGGATGAACTCGAGAGGAGACCGGGCGCATTCGCTGTCGCACACGCTAGGGAATAGAAAAGGTTTCCACCCCGGTAATTTTCCTTCTCCTCTCACCCCAGTGCTTTCCTTTGGTAGGGGCTGAAAGCAACCGAGGGGGTGCCTTTTCTCCACTGGACTGGAGCTCTTGCCACTCGAAGCTGGAGCATGCTGGAGGACGGACAGGGACCGGGTGAGAGGCTGGGCTCTGAGGTGATGGAGAATGCTGGGTGGTGAGCCTTGCGCTGTCTTCTCTTGACGCCTGTCTTGGAGCATTCAAGGTGGCCTCGCTTGCCCAGGTCGCGCCCCTGAGTTGTGGAGCCGCTCTGCCTATCCTCACCCCGCCTGTTGTGTCCCCTTCATGGCCGTTTGGTTTAGACTTGCGTGCCCAGGCTTTGTTAGGCGATTGTGGCTGGAGAAAGCTGTCACTTTTACGGATGGCCGGGGACTGAGGTGTGCTGCTAGTGGGCACTAGGCTGGGGGTGTTGTTAAATGAATTAGGGTGGGCTCGGCTCGGGGGTAGGGTGAGTAGAACACTGGTGGACGCAGGTTACAGGTAGGAGGGCAGGCATCCTGGCGCTTCTCTCTCCTGAGAGGGGAAGTCTGGGCTGCAGCTGAGCTTTGATGCTGCCGAGACCCAGCCTGTGGTCCCACTTCGGAGCTTGCAGATTGAATGTTCCAGGGCCCCAGCAATTTTAGGTGTGTACGTTTGTAGGAGTGGGGTACGACCTCCTCTACCAGGGTTAGTTGGCAGTGGGGTCCGCGTGTGCCTGTCTGGGTGTGCGTGTTCCTGCGCCCGGAGGATGTCAGGGAGATGTGTGCTGGGATGTGCTGATGCTACTTGAGAAGAGCTTGCTTATCAAAATCGCCTGGGATCCGTTTAACTGGAAAATCTGGTTTGGGGAGGCCAAGGGGGCCCTGTAGGATTGCGAGGAAGCCTCACAGTGTGTTCGCTCTTCCCCGGAGAGGTGCAGTTCAGCGAGATGCGTGGGACGCGTGTGAGTCGCTGGTGCAGCGCTCGACGCACCCTAGATTGGCCCTGGTGAGGACCTCATAGAGTAGTCATCTCTCGAACAGATTGAAGTAATCAAGTCAAACCAGCATAACCTCTGGTCCTTAGAATTCTCTGGCTACTTTCCTCGCACGGATAGAAACATGTGCTGCCTTTATTTATGGCTATCGATGTAGCAGTTGGGTGAACTCGGGCATAGGAACCACCTCCAGGGTGTCTCCTCCCTGTGTTCCATGTGATCTTTGCCTGCAGTAGTTAGAGAATATTGTAAACAACAGTGTAAGCATCCACAGTCTCCTTTAGAGCTGAACCTATTGGTGTCTGTTTTGTTTACTTTCCTGGGTGGATTACTCATTAGGAAGTATAAGCCTTTTTGCACGTCTGATTTTACATCCTTTCAGCCAGCTGCTGGGGAAATGAGACGCATAGACTCTGGCAGGAGGAAAAACTACCTTCTGTGTTTGCTCCGAAGTAAATAGGCGGTCTGCTAATTTTAGTGTCACATGGGCTACCATCCTAGTTAAAGAATGTCATCGTAGAATTTGCTAAGAAACACTTCAGTGATTTTTCATTTGGAGATCGTCCTGTATCTATCTCCCTGTGAGATACCAGAGATTAGATTTCCCTAATATATTTTTCAGTCTGTAATGGTACCAAATTCTTTGGAGTTCTGGCACGCAATTTATCTATGTGTGGATTGCTAATAAAATCGCCAGTTCTTTTATAGTATCACCAAAAGAGGATACCAGATAATTTGTGTAGGAGTTAGGAGGATATTTGTGTTCTGTCAGCTTTGTTTCATCTAATCTTTCTTTCTCCTCTTCCTTTTTTCTTTTTTTTTTTGTAACTAAAGAAATGGTAAAGAATGTACAAGGTAAACAATTTGTCAACAGTTGCTTTTGCAATGATAACTACTTTTAAATTTCAGTAATTAAATGACATTAAATTCCTTACTTCTGTATTAGCTCTGACTACTTTGGTGTTTCTTGCAAATGGCTGTGTCCTATTTGGTTTTAAAAGTACAGCACTGTGTAATGGGTACTTTGATTTTAGGCACACTAATTTTTTTATTTTTTTTTAAGATCCTGACTTCTTGAAAAAACTTAGGTTGCCAAAGAAAAATACTGAATCATAAATAACTGATCTTGATTAAGTTGTAGTTAACTGATATTGCTCGTGGTCATCACCCTAATAGAAAAATTAGAGAGTTATGTTTTAACCCATAAGAATCTAGTATCGGGCTGGGGATGTGGCTCAAGTGGTAGCACGCTGGCCTGGCATGCATGCGGCCCGGGTTCGATCCTCAGCACCACATACCAACAAAGATGTTGTGTCCGCCGAGAACTAAAAAATAAACATTAAAAAAATTCTCTCTCTCTCTCTCTCCTCTCTCACTCTCTCTTTTAAAAACAAGAATCTAGTATCATATGTGTTTCATTTCTAGAGAGTATGTGTTACAGTTTTTATACTTGTAAATATTTCTAAGGATTAAAGAATACATTTTTCCTCCCATTTTGGAAGATCTTATCACAATGATTCTAAGTCCTTCCATTAGAAGATTTGATCAGATCTGTTCTTTGTTTCCTAGCAGCATGTGTTTCCTAGCAGTCATACATTCCACAGGTCCTGATGTCATTAGAACAGTGCCTGTCAGTTTATTGTGCTGTCTTTAGCTGAAGGTGAATGTGTCAGTGTTTGAATGCCATTCCATAACACTTCTAAATATTCAGTAACCTGCTGCACTGGAGTATATGGTTGACTGAACTATTTCTAAAACTCTGGGTAGGAGAAATGATTAGTACAACGGTTTATGTGAACTACTTAATTTTTCTTAGGTAGATATGTTAGGCTGCATCAGGCATCCCTAGCCAGAGGAGTGATAAGCCAGCATGTGATTTGTCTGATACTTTTGATGTCTCAGTTTAGGTT